AAGCAAGGTTGCTCTCTCCCCCTCAGTATTTCACCAGCTCCTGACCCCCTCATAAATCGGAATGTCCCAAACTCTCCACCTTCTCTAGCTAGCCTTGGCTCTGAGTTGTCTGGTCATGCAATAGAAAATCTGGCAATCATATTTGAAAACTAAATAGTTTGCAAACTTAAGTCTCCCAAGCCCAGCTGGCCCTCAATGAAATCCAGCAACCTACCTTAGAAATATCCTTGACTGTTGTTCTAGCCCATACCCCTAGGACTCAAGTTTTTCCACCCTCTACCTCTATCCTTCGGCTTTCCACTCCATGTCCAGTAGTCACTCTACATTAGCAAATGAGACCACTTCAGAGTAAAGAGCTGATAACACTCAAACCCTCTTGTGTCCTTCTGTCCTTAACTTCCTTCCTATCCAAAAAGGGGACTCAGTCTTCATTTCCTTGACTCACCTAATACACACCCACCACTACCCTACACCCCAGTCCTTTCCCCTTCTCTGGAACATGCTCCATCTATTAGCCCTTCCTATCTCTATCTTTCGGCTCTCTCAGTCCAGTGGTTTGTTTCCTGTATCTATAGGCCTATAAATATATTCAATGTGTTTTCACCATCCAGCCAACCATTGAAAGCTGTATTCTTGCCTCTCTGTACCCTCGCTGACCAAACAGCAAATTATACAAACTACTTCACCTAACTCTACTACTACCATTTAAATCCATGACAGGTTATCTCTTCTATCTCCTTTCCACTCCCCCAGGCTTTATTGAAACTACTCTAATTAAGATACAAATGACCTCCTAATTGCCCAATAAAAAAAGCCTACTTCCTCCAGTGTTAAAAACATTCAAATGGCAGCCTGTGGCATAGTGGCTAAGACACTGGATTCCCACATGGCCAATGTGGTTCTAGTCCCAGACCAAGTGGCTTGAAAATCACTGCTGGGCGCAAGTACATGCAAACTCAAAATCCAGAGAGGAGACTGGAAGAGAAGGGACTGTGGTGTGGCCATCTCCCAAGGATGATTTCTTACTTTCCCCGTCTATCTCCCTCCAGCGAGCACATTGAACCCCCCCCAGCAAGAAAAAGAACCCTATGGTTTAAAAAAAAAAAAAAAAGAGAAAGAAAAATAAGAAATTCTAATTTTTTTCTTGTTCTCTTTCTAAAACCTCCTGATTTTCACAAGGTCTTCTCTGCCTACTTCTTAAAATACCCAAACAATCCACTTAACACCTTTATTCTACAAGCACTCTGAGGACTGCCATCCTTTTTTATACAAGATCCTTTCTAGTCTATTCTCACAAATTTCTTTCTCTAGCCTCACTCTCTCACAAGAGTACCAAACTCATATTTTTTAAATAGTTAATAAATAATTAATTTATTATTTATTTATTAATTTATTCATTCATTTATTTTTAATTTGACCAGAGAGAGAGAGAGAGAAAGGGAAAGTGAGAAAG